GAAAAAACCAAAGGTTTCTTGGCTTGCCTTGCTCCTGGAGATGCAGCAAAGGGCATCTTGAAATCTAGGACTGTCAGCTGCTCAAGGTTGTCATTCCAGGTGCTTCTCTCAGGTCCTGCACTGATCAATCCTCTTTGCCACTGGGTTTCTCTGCAGGTTCTTGCAGTCACATTCTGGAAGCAAACCACAGTGAGCAAATTTAGCTGTTACTGCAACCAATACGTTCTGGCACTGTGATTTAAAGGATTCTGGGGTTGCCTTACCTTGAAGCTGAGATCTCTCTAGGTAATACCTACAGAGTCCACCGTTGCCCATTCTCCTGGAATTCCACTGGTCCACACCACAGGAACAACTCCATCTGCCACTCCAGCCGGGACGGTGCTGCTGACAGGAGTTCTTTCCTGCACGAGAAGAGCTGCTGCTCTCACACAGTTAGTTTCATCAATTACAATTTCAACCATCTTTCCATTTTCCATTTTAATTTCCACCTCAACTTCTCCAACCAATCTCTTCCTAGCAAAGGCTTAGGGGATCTTACAAATAAGCCAACTGAGAAATAACTCCTTGTTTTCCTAGTTAAACCCCTGTCCCACCCATCATCTTAACAGTGATTGATTAATTAATTGGTCAATTAAACCAGTCCTTAATTCTCCCTCTGGTGTGTTAAGGACTGAGGAAGCTGGACCTGTGCCTGACCAGCACATGTGCAAACCAAACACTGGGGGGACTGGAACCCACACCTTGCACTCCTGCAGCTCTCACAATTCCACCCAAGAGAAAACACCCAATGGTACCATCACCACTCATCCCTTAAGCCCAATCCCACACTTCTTGTGCAGTCAGAGCACCACTTTGAGAACCCAATGACAGCCCAGTCCAGAGCTGCATGGCCAGGACAGACAGCTCCACCTCTGATCCTCTCAGGAATGCCTCAATCCATTGCAGGGACCTTGCTTTGAGCTCCCCAGCTTGGGGCACCCAGAGGAGCTCCCCGAAGAATCCTTTGGGTGCGCGCTCGAGTCC